TAGAGCGCTTTCTTATATACACAAGGCAGAGGGAGGTAGGCAGGGTTTACAGCGGACCTAATTGAGGACCTGTCAGTTCTGTCTGAACCAGGGGGTCTGCATTCCTGGTATCTGTGTCAAGGTCGCACCGGCCCTTTTTAAGCAGTGAAGGTCATGGCAGCCATTTTGATGTGGGTGGCTCCCCACACCAGACTTCAGCTCATTTCTCTTCACACAGGCCAAAGCGGTCTTGAAGTTCATCGAGGCCATCTCTGAAAAGACCCTGAGGAGCACCGTCGCACTCACGGCTGCCCGGGGACGGGGGAAGTCTGCGGCTCTGGGGCTGGCAATCGCTGGGGCAGTGGCGTTTGGGTGAGGACTCTGATCCCTGTCCTTGGGGTCTCTGTGGGCTGAGGGCAGGGCTGTGGTCAGGAGGCCTCCCCCCGGGTTCCTGCCTCAGAGCGTGTCCACTGGGTGGCTCCCGTAACCCTGTTTCCCCCAGCCCGCCTTAGAGTTGCAGTCACGTGTGCCCCCCACTCATACACGTACACATGAACACACATGTGCCAGGGCCTCGGTGGTCACTGTGCTAGCAGAGTGGGTGCACTCAGTGAGGTGACCGTGAACAGCCGGCTTGGCTGACCCCAGAGGCACACGTTTGACACGGGCATCACTGAGGGGGTCCTGCTAGCTTCTGAGGAGCCTTCAGGTGCGTCTCTCGCCCTTGGCAGAAGGGGATACCTTGCCCCCGGCATGTGCCCTGAGCCCTGCAGGCAGGTCAGGCCGAGCTGGCATGTTCTCCTATGTGCGTCACTTTCCTCCAGGGTGTTCACTAGACTTGGGCATGCCAGGGTCCTACCCAGCGCCTCAGCACGTCGACTGGCAGGACTGGAGCCTGCGCCCGGTCTTGGCCTCGTGCCCTCCATTCTCCTGTGGCCTCACTCTCACCCTGGTGTAGCCTCCAGCCCTGTGCCTGCACTTGGCCAGGGCCACAGGTGGAGAGCCAGGGGCTGGGCCTGAGCACGGGGCTCCTCGGGCCCACAGGTTGGGAGCGTGAGGCCGTTCCCCATGGAGGGGCACGTGGGCAGTGGGCTTCACCCTTAGGCACTGCCAGCAGGTCACCTTCAGTGCTGGGCCTCACGCCTGCGTGTTAACATGTCCTCGTCAGCTCAGGTCTGGAGTGCTTTCTGTGTCCTCTGGCGTGTCCCAACCATCCCCTGGCTAGCCCGTGTGATGGAGGGAGGCAAACCAGACTTTCCCCTCCCTTTTTAGTTAGTTTCTTTACAATGTTCTGGCTTTTCAATTCCTTGAAAGTGCCCCCCTCGCTGCTCTGCAGGTACTCCAACGTGTTCGTCACATCCCCGAGCCCCGACAACCTGCACACCCTGTTCGAGTTCGTGTTCAAAGGGTTCGATGCGCTGCAGTACCAGGTGAGCAGGCGGGCGGGTGCGTCTCAGTGCAGCAGTGGCCCGACAGCCCGGACGCTGTGTCTCCGCATTGTTTCTGACGGTTGTCACGGTCTGCCTGTTCCCAGGAGCACCTGGACTATGAGGTCATTCAGTCTCTCAACCCCGAGTTTCACAAAGCGGTGATCAGAGTGAATGTGTTCCGGGAGCACAGGCAGACCATCCAGGTGAGCTCCGCACCCCCGGCCTGCCCCGGCTCCCAGGTGTTCGCGTCCCCGGGTGTCTCCCGGGCCGGCCGCTGCGTGTCTGTCACGGTCAGCCCGTCTAGGCGGGCCCGCCCCGCCGTGGGGCAGGTCGCAGAGACCAAGTCGGTTCTGATGTTGGTTCGGACTTTGCTCAGTCCTGGCAGGTCTTGATGCCCTGCGACTGTCCCTGGGGCAGTCACCGTTTGAGGAAGACACTCGAGAATGTGCTCTGGCATCTGGTTTGGCCTGTGGTCCGCTTTCCTTTTGGTGCAGTGTGTTCCCGAGAACTTTCAGTCCCTACACTCGGTCAGCTGAAGGGACTGTCCTTGTCAGGCTGACATGTCCAGTCTCGGGGCAGTGACAGGCTTCTTCTGGAGCCGATTTCTGTCCTTCAAGGGTCGGGTCGGGTCGGGCGAGCGGACGAGCTCTGCGCTGTGGGCCCGGAGGGAGGGTTGCCAGCGTGCTCGTGCCTCTGCGCAGAGCTCACCTCTCCTTCTGGGGCTCTTCTGTAGAACCTCCTCGTACATGTCTTCCCTCGACCGAGAGGGCAGGCAGCCGCAGGCCGGGCGGCGACCGCGG